TAATTTCACCTGTACCTCAACTTGTTGCATTATTTTTTGGCATTTATTGTCAGAAAAATAAATATCTCCTGTATAAAAAAAAACATTTTTTCACTTTTTTTCTGAAACTTTTGAAGAAGGAGCTATAGCACTTTGAGATTGTCACCAAAATATGAGCCTTTCACTGTTGCTCAATAATTTGCAGGCTTGTATTGACTTATTTTTAAGTGAGAAGCAAAACTGTGCAATTCTTTAAAACCTCATTTTTGTGAACACTGCAAATTGTGTTACAAAAATAACTCACTCCATGAATATTGTCCAAACTTCATAATAAATGTTAGATTACTATGCCTACCTGGTTTAATCTCACTATTCAAATACAAAACATTACAATGTATGGTGTGATTTTGATGTATCTCAGTAGGTAATATATGAACAGTTCTGCAGACACTTTGATGTCCAATGTATTATTAAGCAATTGTTCAGTTTAAGCAAATAAATTACTAAAAGCTTGCTCTCTAGTTGTGCTGGATGTATACCATTTCCTGTGGATCAATCGTAAATATCTGTCCAGGGGCAAGTGATGATACTGAATCATAGATACCTATCTGTCATGAGTGATGATACTGAGGCAGGTTCTGTCACAGGAAATGAGTGAGGGTGCAACTCAATGTTTGTACCGCTTTTTTAAACATCACTTTGCCTACCCCTTGAAAGTCTAAGATCATAAATTGCACTGAATTAACTGTTTCATTTTCCTCCCATTCAAATACAGGATCTTGATGACCAACATGAAACTTTTTGGGTTCATAGAAATGCACAGCAAAGTGTTTTTTGCCATCAACCTTTTCCTGGCTACCATATTCAACTATTTATTGATATCTGCCAACCACTGCTTTATTTCAAAAATTTTCATTCCAATCAGAATGAATATATATGGGTGATTATAGGGTTCAGAGTATGGAAATTTGAATGGTGCTGAGTATTGAAGTTTATGAAATATGTTAATTTGTTGTTAATGCTAATAGTTTCATTGTTTGATAAAGAATAAAGTTTTTTCTCCAGTATATTCTATTTTTATTTTGTTACAACTGCTGGCTCCATGTTGATCTCTTTCTTGCCAGCTGCAGTTTTTTTTTCACGCAGCCACTGAAAGTCTATAAAATCTGGCTATATGTGGCCCCTAACAATCTGGTGAATTAACTTGGGATTTCTTTGCTTCTAAATTCTTATGGAATATGCAATTTATGCTGACTAATGATCCTAATTCTTGGATATACGTAATACTTATAATACTCATATTATACTTGTATAATACTTATATAATATACTAAGTTCCTGTATTTATCAGCAATAATATATTCAACATGGAAGCCAGTGTAGAATGTGCTACAGATGCCGATCTTATACTAACCTCATCTTGCTCAGCTTATGTCCTTTTTTCTGTGCTTAGATGCACAATTTGACAATCAAGCTACAACAGAATTGGACTATTTGGCTTGTTTTTTTTCAGCATAATGATCAAACCACTCCTTGTAACTTAGGTTGTCTTCCACCCTTTCCTGTTCAAAACAAACCAAGTTCCTGGTAGTGTGCTCATTTGGTCATCTGCCCCTCTACTGGAATAAACTAGAAGGTGAACCTTGTATCCACAGAAAGTCAATGGGGCATTACTTCTGCTGCTGCATTTCAGACTGCATAAACAGAAGGGTTTTCTCACTCAATACAATTATTTCCAAAAGTTTTTGTACAGAAAACTGTTGCTAAAAAGTTTTGACATTGGTGTGATTGCATTCAAACCCTGACTCCAGATGCAGTTAGTCTAAAAAATGAATATTTATAAACTAATACAATGGAATTTTATTTAAGTAAGACAGTATAAATGCTGTTGTCTGTAATAACTGTTGTTTATAATAACTGTTGTCTATAACAACTGCTGTTGATAATAACTGTTGTCTGTAATTATATTGAGAATAACTGTCGTTGATGTTTTGATTTGCCCATTGTAATATTATGTAGGTAAGCATGACTATTAATATTCTTATATTGAATACTATGTACTTGTGCAATAAATCCAGCTTGGTGAAACATTTCTGGAGGTCATTGAAATTGTGCAAGATTCTTTCTTATTGCTAACTGACTAATCATTCCCTTCCATACAACTCGCCAAGCATTTTTTAGTCAGTTTCTGTATTGCGCTTTGAGCTTATTATTTTGACTTTGAAATAATTGCATTGTAGTCAGGGTTCTTGAGTTCATTGCATGTATATTCTCTGCATATTCAAGCAAAATACTTTCTCAAAAGTGTGCATGAATCATAGTTGTCATGCCATTATGTTGCATTCTTCAGATAAGGTATATCACTTCTCTAATACAAATGAAAAGCAATTATGATTTTATTATCAAGTTTTATTTGAGAAAATACATTTTACACAGCTATATGAAAAAATGTATTGTATAGGTAAGTTAAAAGGTCAGTAGATAGAACAGACGTGAAGATATTCCTACAAAAAAAAAATAAATAAACTACTAAAATGGATGAGTTGATTTGAAATTATAAACCTCCAATTTCATGGCAAAAGATAATTTCTGGATATAAATGTTGGACTATTGCACAAAGAGTGATAGAAATAACTTGTATATAAGAAGAATAAAAATAATAGGCTTACCTTCTAGTCATGATACTTTATCTGTTATTTCAGCCACTCAATTGCTAATGATTTGGTAGCCAATATAATAAATTTTCTGCTACTATTCTGTCTGTTGATTTTCTCTTTGAAATAACTAGATAGTAGCTTTCTGTTGAAATTATTTTGTGAGAATAAGAATATTTTTTTAATGTTATTTGATATTTTTTTGTATTTGTTGAACAACCCATTGTTCCTCAATTATACATTGTGTCAAAAAATTATTGTGTAATAATGAAAGGTTCACCATATGGATTATACCTATTTGATTTGTAGGCATGTGTTTTTACGACAAATTTATGGACATATGAGTTGGTTTACATAGAAATTAACATCATGAATCAAGTTATTAAAGTAAAAATTGTCACTAAAAAAGTTGTCAATATAAAAAATAATTTTTATTTGAAACATTGTATGTTTTTTTATTTTACTTCAAGGAACTATAATATGTCCCGTTGTATGCACTGCAGTTAGAAATGATGTTGAATGTAAGGTTTTATTTAGGGCTGAAATAAAATAATTACTTGACACCATTACCTACTAGAGTATATATCATCTGTCTAGGTATATGTCAAAAATTACCAATTATTCTCCAAAAAATTTAGATGAACTTATAAAAATCACAAAATTGACTTTGGTACGAAAGAGATTTATTTATTTATTTTTTATTTAACAGGTATCCACTCAAGTATTCATTAATTTATTTTAACCAACCACTTCTGGTGGTTACTTTCTGATTTATTATCTTTATGTGCATTTAGAAATTGAACAACAAGTTTGAATACCTACTCGTAATAATAACATCACACAATGGGTAAATTTGTTATCCAAGTTTAAATTTTTATGATGTATTTTTTAAGAGGACCGCTCAAAACATTCCCATATTCAGGAACTTCTGAATTATATCAAAGGTAAAATGAAGCAATCAGATGGCATACAGTTTTTTGTAAACATGAGACAGTTGTGCAGAAATGTTCCAGGTCCTCTTGATATGGTCCTTTGTATCATAGTTCCCGCAGGAGTTCTTACAATAACAAGTACTGTAATCTGGTGTCAGTAACAAGTAATCTGGTGTCAGTAACAAGTAATCTGATGCCATTGCTGGGGATCTTTCTGAAGCGTCAGCTGGAAATGATGATTTTAACAGACTTTGTTGGAGGCCTGAAAAACTATATCCTTGAAGATAAATTTGTGGATGTCAACAAATTGTTGAATGTTAAGCCTCGAAAAATTGTTATTGACCAAAGACATTAAGCAGTGCATTTTGATAGACTAAAAAGTTGTATGTTGGTACTTAAGATTAAGTATTTCTGCAGGATATCTTGCTTATGTAAACAGTTGCTGAATTTAATGTTGAAGTGTCTCTAAACCTGATGATATTCAAAATAATGAGTTGATTTCAGATATTATGATGCCTTGTAAAATGATATTGATTATAATTGAGTAATTGAAATTGGAAATTAAATAAGTGTGCCATGATGATAGGTAATTAGGTTAGTGTGCATTGCTTTACCTGTTTTTGTTTTTCAGTTTATCTCCCAAATTGTTTCATTTGAGAGGATATTAGTAAAATGGGGTATTTTGGTAATGCAATGAGATATTTTTGAAATTTTTCAAAATTTTGCGTGATTTTGTATCTTAGTTGTGAACTACTAGCAATATATATATATGCAGGCTTGATTGAAGACCAGAAAATACTTTCTATTATTGATTTTCTTGTTGTTTTTTCTTCTATATAGGTATATACATGAGTGACAAAAAATCTGTTTGATATTTACAATTGTAAAAGATGAGATTAGGTTTAAATTTCAAAGTTATACATTCTTTCTTAAAAAATCATGAGAAATAACTGACAATTTTTTTTCAAATGGCTACCCTATAAAAATACTTTGAAAGTCAACTATGCAAGCTTTTGCTTTAATTAGTTAAGTTTAAGGTAAAAAAAGCATTTCATCTTTTCAAAATTAAGTTTCATTGTTTTGAATCTTATATAGGTAGTGTGCTCTTTAAATGACAATGGATTAAAACAATACTAGCTGTGTTAATAATGGTTCAATGAAATGCTTCAGATGTTTTGTTCATGAGAATTTCTCTATTAATTCATTTGGTAATCTTGAACAATTATAATACTCCTAATCCCATCACATGTTTCGAAGGACTTGCTCAGTGCTCTCGTGGAAAGCTTACTAGACCAAGCAAAGCACAACTAGCAATTACTAAATGCAATTTAATTAACTACTAAATTAAAGTATTTCTGAATGATATAATTTGGTCACCTTTATTGATAATCACAGTGCTGCTTTGTCTTTGCTAAATTTATCCTATTTATTTTCAGAATCTTTTGTGCAATTTTATAATCATAAGCAAAATGGATGCATGCACAGTTTGTCTAGAAAAATATAATGGTACTGACAAGAAACCTCTATCACTCCGATGCGGACACGTTTTTTGCCGCTCATGCCTCTATAGCCTCGCTGAACTGCACAACCGCCGCTGTCCACAGTGCAGGAGGCCCTGGACAGAAGATGTTTCCGAGCTACGCGTCATTTACATGCTGATTGACGGCGAACAGGAGCCTTTCTGTCAGGGTTGTGAAGATGAAATGAAAGCTTGGTTTATTACAGGAGAACAGCAAGCTCAAGAAGCAATGATACAACTCGAGAGCCACCAATCTCGAAAAAATTTTCTGCTTTTCTCCAGCAATCGATTCAATGCGAGAGCTCTCTCTGCTTATGACGTTCAGGAGCGACCAGCATTTGTGGTCTCTACTGCAGCTAACCCAATACGCAGCCTATCTCTTCTGCTTATCAAGTTAGCGGAGGCAGGATATCGCATTCGTCTGTACCTCAATGACTCATTCTTGTCGCGAGAATTACCCGAGTTGGACTGTGCTCGCCTTGCACCATTTCTACAAAAAGGATATGGGTGAGCTGGCAATGGGGAAGTAGATTTGCTCTCCATCTATTTATTGCAATGTCTCATCTTATACAATGTTGCATATTTGTTAAGGCAATACAATTAAGGAAGAAGAAGTGTAACATATGTAATATATTAATATTATATCTAAATTGATGTTTAATTGTGTCAGATAAAGGCCAAGTATTATGAATGTTTTTTCCTTCTTCTAATTTCTTTCTTTATAGAAATTTGCTTGAAAATTTATATAGTATAAATTTACTCCTATATTCTAGAAAATTTTCCCATGGCTTGAACTATTAAATGATTTTGATGATATGCACTGCTTGTGAAATTCTAATTACAACAGTTTCATGTGAGTTAGCGTTTTACAGTTATCCATATACCTCAGGGCCAAAAATGCTCCGTTTTTTTATGATATAGCATTTACGTGATCAACTAATCACTCTGCATGCTCGTATTACCGTAATCCTGATCCCTCGCGCCCCAGGCTTCATGTGAGTGGCTTCCTGGGCCACGCTTCGGCCGCCACGCTGCAGAAGATGCCGAGAGCTTACTTCTCCCTGCGGCTGGAGACTGCGGCGGACATCGAGGCTCTCTACTTGGAGACGAAGTTTACTGGTGAGCGCCGGTGTTGTGGGGTGGAGTGATGCGGTTTGTTAAGAGGATGGCGTTGTAATGACTTATAGTAGTGGTTGGTGTCTTGAACACGATTGACAGTTTATGGATAGTACGTAGGTGAGGTGTATTGGAAGGACCAGTATTGTATTTATGAATGGTACTGGCAGTGAAAGGTAGTAGTAGGCACCAAAGCAATGTCATTTACTTGAGTTCCGGTAAACTGTGGTATAGAAAAGTTTAGTATCTTCGGCGTTGAAGAATAGGCCTGCATAGGCCTGTATGACTTGTATCATTTTGTTCTACAGAAGCCGCCGTGAACAGGAACCTCAAGCCCGAGGACATCAAGCATCGACCGCGGGCGTGTTCAGCCATTCAGTGCGTGGAGCTGCAGGACAGCGAGGTGCCGTGGCTGGTCGCAGTGGCGAAGAAGCTGCTTGTTCCAGACCGTAATGGGTTGGTATGAGTTATTCCAGAGTTTTGATATCTTTTGAATCAATTGACTCAATACTACTTGGAAAATTACTAACTCTATAGGACACACTCGACTCTTCTCCCTGTAATACAACAGGTGTTGAGAACTGTCCACATGACGCACCGCTCACTGTACCGTCAGGATACACAGCTCATACATTACCTACAGCTCATACATTACCTACAGCTCATACATTACACACAGCTCATACATACGGGGCAGGGTGGCCCAATGGTTACAGTTCAGAGTACCAAGATTGGCGCAGGGAGGCGCGGGTTCGATCCCAGCTACCTGCGACAGTTTCTGGTCAGAATCGGCGAGGAGGCCGGGCGGTTATGCACAGCTGAATTGTAGCAGTGAGTTGCGAGTTCGAGACCGCAACAAGCTGTGATTGTTCTGCGATGTCAAGAATCGACGACAGGTCTACGGCATAATAAACGCTGAAACTGCTATTATTATTATTACACACAGCTCGTACATTACTCTCTTCCTTGCCCAGGACGAAGTACGCGAGGCTGCGTTCGTGTCACCTCACGAGGGCTGGCGTGAAGAAGCTGCTGCGAAGTGACATCCAGAACATATATATGGAGTCCCGCGACCTTGAGCGTGATGTCGTGGCGGAACTCGTGACTTTGGCGTTCACGAAGAATAGAGAACTGATCATCGAGGAGCCTTGTTCTTCAGATAATGAATATGTGCATTCTAATCGTTCACCTCACTTGAATCATGCAACAAGCCGTCTTCATGCGGCAGGTCTGCCTTCTGCGGCGAGCATGCCTTCTGCGGCGAGCCTGCCTTCTACGGCGAGCCTGCCTTCTGCGGCGAGCCTGCCTTCTGCGGCGAGCCTGCCTTCTGCGGCGAGCCTGCCTTCTGCGGCGAGCCTTCCTTCTGCGGCGAGGCAGAGAGCTGCAGCAAGCCAGCGAGCTGCAGCAAGCCTGCGAACTGCAGCAAGCCAGCGAGCTGCAGCAAGGCAGAGAGCTGCAGCAAGCCAGCGAGCTGCAGCAAGCCTGCGAACTGCAGCAAGCCAGCGAGCTGCAGCAAGGCAGAGAGCAAGGCAGAGAGCTGCAGAAAGCCAGCGAGCTGCAGCAAGCCATCCTCCGTTTTGCTAAACGTACGGGCATTATGGCTGCCAGAGGTACGAGCTTCTTGCAGTTATCAATGCTGTCATGAACTCGAAGTTAAGTTAGTAAGCATTTATTCTTGCCTTGTAACGTACTTGTCTGGTACGACGTTTGTTATGAACAATGCGCGGATGAATACTTTAGTTATTAGTATTTTATATACATTGTTCGCCTTATCAGTATTGATTACTGTTGTTCAAATAAAATTTCTAGATCCTTCTCGTAAATTTTTTTAAAGCACTAATATCTATCTTTGTAGCACTAATATCTATAGAGCTTCCGTTGGTAGCTCATTACTGGCTACTCAAAGTTGGTCCTTCTTTACGTGTTATCGACTCAACTGATAACATCCAGACGTCCGTTTATCCTTGTCTTTTAGCCTAAACTGTAATGCAATTTTATAGGGGAATGTTAGTGACGTGGATGTCCCTCTCTTGGGTTTATTACTTCAATGCGCAACCCTTGTGGGATTGAAATGCTCATTTTTAGCTCGCTATCTTATATAGCTCATGCATATAATGTTTGCTTGGTGATTACGTCTGCTCATTATGCACCGTCATGTCGTAAATTGGGCTGTATGGTTCAGTGTTTTGTAGTAATGATATACCCTATTTTGTATACCCTACTTTGTATACCCTACAAATCCCCTGAAAATGCCGGTGATCTGATGTTGCAATGCCGATGATACCGACGGGCAGAAGTTATAGTCAGCACGCGTGATGACAAACATATAGGAGTCCGCCCATGTCGTGCGTCGGTAAGGTGACAAGTCATGCCGAAAGTGAAAACCCGGTCATTTGTTAAGGGTGTGATGTGTTCAGTAGTTGAATGCTGGTGTAAATTTCATAGAGCAGGAGCATTCTGTGATTTCTATGTAAATTATATATGAGCGCCCATAATAATAAAGATGATGGGCTACTTGATACATAATGAAATGAGGGATCTGTACGCGAAATGCTCGAATCGCGTTATAGGGCACAGCTCTTATACTTGAAAACACTTGCTTCAGAGCCCTTAAATCCTTCACCGATATGATCCTATCTATAGTCCCTAGGCAAGCAAACAATAAGGAATAGTTTGCAAGATTCTGAGCTGGTAGTCACAGCCACCAATTTCCTTAATGGTAGCAAACCAGTCAGTCAGACGAAAGAAAGATGGTAGTAGGTAGCCAACCATCCGCCAGAGCGCTTTCATCTCGGCAAGTCCGACCACGATTTTTGACAGAGACTACCTTTTTCTACTAATTAAAGAGTTATATTTATGCACTACAGCTTCATAAAGTAGTGCATACATACATATATACGAAATTTAATTCGTGCGCTACCGCTACATTAGTCTTGTGCATGCTACTTCTTGATAGGCTTGGGTAGCTAGCTGCCTATCCATCACTTCGTCTCCCTGGATCCTAACCACATGAATTGATTAGGTGGAGAGAACTAATCAATGTAAAAATGTGTAACGAAAGAAACGAGACGATTGTAGGGCCTGGGGACGTGATCGGGCATGGAGATATTCTAGGTGAACCAGTGAATAAGAATGTAAAGCTGTTGCATGTTTTTTTGTTTGAGAATAACCTAGAGAATCTAAATGTGAACTTGGCTGATGGCAGCGTTTCTTGGAAAAATTACCAATATACGTATAGCGGTTTCAGCATTTATTAAGCCATTGGTTTGTTACCGTTTCTTAACATCACAGAACATTCACAGCTTGTTACAGTCTCGAAAACCCAAATCAGTGCGCTAATTCTGTTGTGCTTAACCGCCCGGTTTCGTCGCAGATTTTGACAAGATACTGGCGTTTACGCTAGGATCGAACCCGCACTTCTCTGCTCCAATCCTGATCCTCTGAACTGCAACCACTCATAACCATATATATATATAGATATAATTATATAGATACTCATAATTTTGATTATAGATGCTCATAATTTGTAGTTCGATTTGATCGGATCTCAGCAGAAATTTTTTATTGCTCAATTAATTATAGTCATATTGAATGCTGGCAATATCTACAGTATTTGAGTACCTTATTATCAGTGCGTTTACGAAGGAAATTACACGTCATTTGCAGCAGATCTGTAGAGGTAACTTTAAATGAAAAGGTTGAAGAACATTTTTACATAAGAAGAAAGTTGAACTTTAAACTTGTTGAAACTTTTTCAAAATTAAATATTGTTGTTGCTCACGTACATACTTTTTCACTTCGCGAATCGGGATGGGCTTGCTCTAATCTTTCGTTGCGGACGTAGAAACACGAAAAAAAATGACTCTTGTGCTATAATGTACTATGCTTTTTTGGGAGATTTTGAGTTACCATTCATAGTAACTAGAATGCCTAGAGGCATCAATAATTCAGTGGATCAAATTACTTATTTTCATATTTCAAATTTGTCTTTCTGATCTCCAGTTATCATCAAGGTTGAATCTTGGCCAATGGCAAATTTTCATGAAGTATGACGACATTATAGCTCATTGTGCGCGGTCGTTGACGTGTTTAATTACATATTGGCTCCTCGTTATTTCAATATGAGGGAATCCACTCAAATTGATTCAAATTCTAAACTTTCCACTTCCCGTTTCAAGCATCACTGGAACGGAATGCTACGAGTTTCAGTGAGCGAGGATCGAGCTTTCAGCCCTACATCAGCTTCAGCCATCAGCTCAAGAGCTCAATTGTGCCTAGCCTTGTTTCAGCACTCGACTTCCTCGGTCACACAATTCAAAACTCACTCGGACTGAATTTGTTCTTTTCGGTCAGTGGATTTAAATCTTAACACAAGTTGAACATGCATTTCATTCACGTTATTATATATCAAAATTTCGACTAACTGCCGAGCTTACTTCGTTATAACTTGGCTCGCTTACTCTTGGTGCTAACTTGGTGTTACATGCAAATGCCTTATTGCATATTCTTCAGTTAGAACATTAATGAATAAATCATTACTGTTGTTCTCCATTTTTCTTCAAGCAATATACTGATGCATTATTTGGCTCACAACATCTGTGACAAGATGCAATGATGCCTAGGAAGTCATGTTCCAACACAAGGAACGGTCATGACGGTAAGGGCAATAATGCAAGAAGATAATATAGCCTTTATATAAAACATCTTGATTTTTAATGAGAAAAATGCGACAACACTAGCGTGAATTACTCAACTGACAACGAAGTTAGCATTCAATTCTTCCTATGGCGCGCGCCTTCGTTAATGGCAAACTCAACCTAATCTCGAGCCGCCAATTCCTAAGGCCAATTATCATGATATGCTCCGAGCAAAAGAAATCACCGTAGCCAATAGAGAACGTGACTATATATGTAATGCCCAGTATTTGGTACACAATCTTATCTATGCTGCTACTGGATGTGAATGCGTTAAAAATAATGCGGCAAGAGAGGTGGGCAAGGACGGCAAAAGAGAAAACAAAATTGATTGACCATCTTCCGTAGAACGTCAATAATTATTTCACACTCTAAATCAGACACATGAACACTCTTATTAAGCGAACTTTGGATACGACAGCCTAAACCCAACAGGTGATATTCTTCTAAAACCATCAGTAGCAGAAATACCAGAGGTTAGTGAACAAATTAATAAAAAATAACTGCTCTTTCAGACGTCGATGTAACATTTAAAAGACTTATTGCAGGGCTACGATAGTATAAGCCTTTCGATGATTATCGATTCGCAAGGCAGTCATCAAAAATGCAGCTTAAGCCAAATGAATGGGGAGGAGTGGGGAGAATTTTATGAAGAAGGGAGTGGGATTTTTTATGCATGAAGGAGTGGGAAGAATTTTATGAAGGAGTGGGATTTTTATGCATGAAGGAGTGGGAAGAATTTTACGAAGAAGGGAGTGGGATTTTTTATGCATGAAGAAGTGAAATATAGAATTTTACGATTACCTTCTGCGTAACCTCTGCCCGACAGAAGCGACCACGAAGAGTGAAAGCCCATCCTGGCCTCGTTATTATACACGAAATTTGTAAACACAGTGAAAGTTCACTACAAACCATCACACTAGTTTCAGAACTATTGATTATCACTTTGTATTAAGGTCTTAACTGCACACAAATATAAGTTACTTGCTATCTATTGTCGGTTATCCCAGTAAAAAGTTCACTTAAAACGTTTACATATTATTTTAAGCACCAAGTGCAGATTTTTTATTAACTCAAGTCCCTTTAGCTAAAATTCGTCTAGCTACGCCACAGCATTAAATACTCAAATGTATAGTATGCAAATACCTGCCTATATATGGCGACAGGCGTGAAGTAATATAAAAAACTGGCAAGATCTGTCTTCAGAAACTACGCCAAAAAATGCTCAAAATCAACCCAAGAACTTTCAATTCTAGGATAAAAGTAGCACTTTGTGCTAACAAACATCAACAATCTAAGGTCTCGTTGCAACGCTCCACAATGCCCGAGCTAAAATTGCCTAAAAGGCAGGATCTATTCTCAAGTAGCACATGTGGATCGGTGTTTAAGAAAATAAAGTTTTACTCGTGAAGGATGATCAACAGATAAATGGAGAGAAACCCTCACAACAATGTAACAAGATCTGAATCATTGGCCTAAAGATTATACACAAGCAAATCACGACGTTAGCAAGCAATATCATAGAATTAAGAAGTCTTTATTTCACTGTACTACCCGCATTTTACTAATGCTTTCACCTGCTTTAACAAGAAACATGAGAGCAAATGTGCTTAGGAACAGTGACTGTTTTTCCTGCACAACCATTAGTAGCATCTGAAGAGGCACAATACATCAAGAGCAGCTTGGACAATATAGGTAGACGAGTTGTTAATGAATTACTTCGACTTGAAGTCGCAAAAAATCGACGGTCTAGTGATGACAAAATACAAAGATGTGCCATAACAATATCTATAATATCAATGCTAAAGCCACGCGTCGACAATCAGTATATTAGCTCCGATGGGAAGTGGTGCAATACAAAGTTATACTAGTAATACGATAAAGATTGACCACACTAGACTGGATACGACAATGTTAAAGGTAACGATGATTATAGCACGTGGGAGGTCGACCATCAGGCCGTATACGTTATGTTTCATCACAGAATAATTATACGCAAACGACATTTAATACTTATTCGTTGATTTAAGTATTGTTTCAATATATTCAGTATGCTCTCAATATTAGTAATATATTTATTATCTTCGGTACAGTTTGATTTTCAAAATCTTAAGTCGAATTTCAACACTAATCGCTTACATTCATTGTCAATGCAGGATGATTGTTTTTTTCGTACTGCAAAAAATGGTGTCAAATATTCTACTGCAAAATAGAACTTATCTTCTATTGAGAGGCGAAGCCAAGTAATCAGCCTTGCAAACCTATAACCTGACAATACAAACATGTAGCATCAACAGCTGATGCAGGCCATGTAACGTCAACAGCTGAAGCAGGCCTCGTAACATCATGAGCTCTACATCTTAGTTCACAGAATTATCAGAAAACATCATCACAGTAACAAGGAGAAGTTCAAGCTTCACGTCACAGGAGCAACGACCACCAAATATCAACTAATAGCGATGTAGTCACGCATAGAATTACTGCACTCGACGCAATAGAGCGAGGTAATCGCACTGCCTACAGCAGTAGCCAGGAATTCTTCAACACATCAAAGTGAATCAATATATTAAAAATCTGTAAAGCTTCAGCCGAAACTTTAAAAAAGTTTAGTTCGTGATGAATCTTCATAGCTCCAAGGGAATAGACTACATGAAATCAAGAAAAAGTGGGTAATTACTGAATTTCAAAAACCAAGGGAATAAATTTTCAGTAATGATTAACCAAAAATAAAGACTGAAACTGAATAAAATATCCATAAAATTTGCGTGTCACGTGATGTCGTTCATCCGAGGCGTGTACACACTCGAAAAAAATTACAGAAGCCAAGAGACAGAAAAGAATGACTGCGTTATTGGGTCTTTATTGTAGCGCTTTCCGGCAGCAAAATTGCAGCAATACTCTACAGTATAAATAGATAACATCTACAACAGTTGGAATCAACAACAACGTCTAAATGGATAAAACCCATAAAGTTTCCAGGTAAGGTAACATACAACAATCATTGACGATTAACAAAATCTTTATCTTAAGATATTGTCAGTAAGTGCAAGGCGCTGGTAACCGGCAAGAATCAGAAGTAAGGAACGTTTAAGTGAGCAAGAGAACAGGTCACAATAACGACAGGTCGTGCGTATTGCTAAACAATTATCAGAGGAGCACGACAAGCAGGTCATAAAAAACGACGTCGCTCACTGTGAGCTCTTTTCTCAGGAATGCAAAAAGCAATGCAAATCCCATCACAAATTCCTTGTAAAAAATACTGCATCAATATTGTTTAAATTCATCGAAGACTCCCCGGCTGCGTTGGCAACGACAGCACTCGTTTTTATTGAAATTTCAATCTCATACTCAAACACTGAAAAATAATCTATTTGAAATGAATTTCCAGAAATATACCTAATGCTAGTTAATGATTGGAATAAATAATTTTCGACGTCACTGTCGGTCTTAAAAGAACTATACACTTCCAGTCTTAAGAAATAATTATTTTATTAGTAATAGACATCTTGCGAGTACAGTAACTTCAATACAATGCCGTCTTAATTTCCAGTGGATGGCACGACAGATAAAACTAACCGTTGTTTCGAGTGGTATCACGAGTACACTCACTTGAGTGGCACCACGAGTACACTCAATAGAGTGGCACCACGAGTACACTCACTTGAGTGGCACCACGAGTACACTCACTTGAGTGGCACCACGAGTACACTCACTTGAGTGGCATCACGAGTACACTCACTTGAGTGGCATCACGAGTACACTTACTTGAGTGGCACCACGCGTACACTTACTTGAGTGGCACCACGCGTACACTCACTTGAGTGGCAACTTTTCCTAGTACAACTTGGCACGCAAGATAAACGGAAGATATTTTTATACATCAGTTAAAGGATTGTCGCGCAATTGACTTTTTTTGGCACACAAGTATACAGAATTGATGCATTGAAAGCCCATGGATATGCGACTGCACAAAGATCAGTCGTCAGGCGGTGGGTCAGACGGAGGACCCGGCAAGATCAGCCTCGGCGGGTCCAGCATGGGTCGCCCAGGCCCGCTCGTCGAAGGTATAAAGTCCGTGTCATCTTTGGTCGCGGCTCGCAGGTTATCCTCTTTCTCGACCCCAAGTTTGTGCTCCAAGGACATAGAAGTGGGCAGCGGGCGGGCGTATGAGTGATCACTGGGTGTCGTGATCACCGTACCGCCGCTGCTGCCGCCAAATTGGAAGCATTTAACGTTGACGGAGTCGTAAGTTCGCTCGGGGTCATTTTTCAGAAGGGGGTTGAGAACCGTGGCGCTGCCGCCACTTCGGCCGTTGCCGTTGCTTCCGACAACCCCCGAGAGGACGATGGCTCCTGACCCTGATCGTGCTACCGGCGCATGTTCATAAATATTCTCAAGAGAAGAATTGCTTTGTGAGGCGCCAATAAATCCAGGAGGAGTTCGTCTTCTGGACGGTTTCTGGGCCGAATCTTGCACATTGGAAGAAGTATTGACTGCCGAGGGACTGCGATCCGATAATTGGGACTCTGAAGACACTCGCATAGGAGGATCAAGCCGTGGACGAGGTTGGTTGTTCGGTTTGACGGGACTCGTAACATAGATAGAATGGTGATGACTGACCACACAATCACCATCACTGCAGCTGATGCCTACGATGACGCGAGGACTGCTCGAACATTCAGGTGATACTTGGGGAGAGAGGGAAGGTTGGGCGGGGATGTGGAGCGACAGTCCCCCTGACGCCGAGAGGCTGGTGCTGGAATGAGGCAGAGGCATTTGAGGCCGCTGACACAAGGGAACAGTTGTGGTCTCATGGCCCTCGCTCGGCAGACTAGGCAAACTCGCTGAATTGAATCCTTGCAGGTTATAATACAAGGTCGGTGATCGCGGAGTTCTTGGCGTGTAGGACGGAGGCTGTGAGCGCACCTTATGACCTCCGTGGTGCCGGTGACCGCGAGGGATGGCTGAGCCGTGACTGCTGGGTGGCGAGGAGAAATGATGGGACGAGGAGTCGTGAGGCGAGCAGTGCGACGTGCATGGCGGGTGATTGCATGGCGTCGATGACGGGGACGAAGAGCCAGGGATGGTGTAGGAGCCCGCCTCGAAGGTAGGCGGGTATTCCATGTCGGGGTAGTGAGGCAGCACCTGCAACAACAACTCACATCAAAAGCTACGTTCACACCGGGCTATTTACTTTTTACGCAATGAGTGAACAAATTTTTAAAGGAAGTTAAAAAAATTGCTGAACTAAAATAAATAGCGAAAGTTGAAAGATCAATAGTTCCTTTACAGATTTTGCCTTTTATGATGATAAACATCGAAAATTGTTGCAATTATCGCGAATGTTTAATAGTGATGAGTGTCATTCAAGATATTCGAGCCCATAAACAATTATAAAAACTAACTTCCTACAAATAACAAGTTTACAACAATTTACCCGTCAATTGCTAAGTCTTCAAACACTAAGCCTCCAAATTCCATACCGGCAGAGGTTGGGTATTTTCCCTAAAATTAGATTCAATTTTGGTTGCTCTTCTAATACTTAAAATGGCGTTAATATAGGGGACATTGATGAATGATACACACCATGAGGGGCTTGCCGTCGAGTCCCGTGTTATAATGAAGTTAATATAGGGGACATTGATGAATGGTACCCACCATGAGGGGCTTGCCGTCGAGTCCCGTGTAGCTCATGACCCTGGGCGCGCGGCTGTCAACGGCGGAGAAGTCATCGCCCGGGGACGCCTCGAGGCTACCGAGGGCAGGCTTAGCATCTGCAACTTGGCTGCCGGAGGACGAGCCCAGGGCGTGGCGACCGACCGATTGTCGGTTGAGGTTGTAAGAGGTGTTGAGTGGGGAGACGTTACCAGCGGGGTTCATAGGAGTAGTGTTAATGATAGTGGTGTTGTGTGCAGGGATGTTAGGTGTGGAGGTATGGGCAGCGTTGACGTTTGTAGAGTTGTTACTGGAGTTGTTGGGCGTCGAGTTGTTGTAGTTTGAAGGACCACGAGAGGTAGATGACGCAAGGTCACATGAGGTGGAAGCGAGAGTGGTGTTGGGGAGGTAGTGGTGCTGTGATGGCGTGGTGGTAGCAGCATTGGAACCGGTGGTGGTAGTGGTGGAGGAGGGTGATGGTGACGGTGGTGGTGAACAGAAGAACACCTCGCGAGGAGACAGGACGCCAGGAGTGCGCCGCTGCTTGCCGATCATACTCACGCCCATGGCAGGCTGCACGACAGATCACACGAGTCTTCATAGAGGTTAATAGCAGCGTTTCTGCGGCTATTGTAAATTTGTCTGGGCAAGTTCAATTTTTTAGCTTTTATCATTTTAATAGTTCATCTAGAACAATATGAAGCGTCATTCCGCAAGAAATTGCCTATTATACTTTTATGTGAACAATTATCAACACGCGCTATTTCGAAATTGGATGGAACGCCGGCACACCGGCTTACAGAAATGTCAACCAAGATCAAATTCAAGAAACTTATCACGACTTTGTCAATTACAAGTTAAGAAATTAGTACACAGAGCATGCAGCACATTTCTGGCACGGAAACACACATTGGAGTCGTCATGAAACATAAGACTCGTACAAATTTCTTGGCAACTCGCTCAAATTGATTGAGCTTCTTGCGCGATTAAACTCAACGTAAGCTATAACATTTCACGGAAAGAATGTAAGAGAAAGTGAGAGCTTTTGAAACAACCATACCAAGTACAGATAATCGTGTAGGAAGATTTAGGTGTTTTCTTGATTGAGAAACATAGGAGAAGATAAATTAAGAAGAGTGTAACATCATAAGTTAACATCTATAATGGTGATGCTAACGCTATTTGTTATTCATCGATTCACATTCACATAATATATTACTATCACGCAACAACGTTAAAGAATGAACATAGAAATGGCGATGACGTAAAAATATGAGAAAATGCGGAACTCACCCTGGCCCTGGCGACATCAGACGGCTGGTGAGAAGCAGGGTAGCTGGAACAGTGCTGAGCATACAAGCGGTTAGTTGCACGCAGGGAAACATTATGTCTAATGCTAGGCTAGATGAGAACAAGCAAACTCTTCTTGCAGAAGGTTAGGTCATCAACACAACTTGGCATGCTATAACAACTTTTTTCTTTCTTTCAATATATTCTCTTCATAAAAAAATTCAAGTTCGTAAATTTATGCAATGTCGGGTTATAGTCGACGACCACAATTGATACCGCCGAAAATCTACATCACTGCTAATAGGGTTGAATAATATGGAGCCTCAGTGGGCGAAAGTCGTCTAGTGACAAGGGTCTTGCAAATTAAAGTCAATGAAAAATTGTAACCGTTTTGTGATTTTTTAAAAATTTTAAGCAAACACAATCGTTTTGACGAACACATAAGGCAATAAACATGGATGCACATAAGAAACTTATCGTGCAGAGATGGATTGAAAGTCTAGGTATCCACAGCAGTATAAATGGAAGACTATACAAAATAAAATCAAACCGAGAATCCGATGGACACTGAGTGAAGTCTTACTAATTTACTGTATGGTATATCAAGAAAGTTTGCTGCATCGTAAACCAATCGTACTGATCAAGACTGCAAGGGTAGTTGGACAGCCTAGAGGCCAGTACGAAAATCAATATAAGAGAAATAAATGTCCAGCGAATCAACGGCCATTCATATCACATTTAGCGGCATGCGATAAATTCTGATCGAGTTAGGAACTAACGTGCAGTAAGCCGGCATATTTTCTTGAACATCAGACTATAAAATCTAAAACTGGAAATTCAGCAATAAATAAAAAAACGAGACCTGCCCAGTCTTACCTTCAGAGAGCCTGCGCACTATTGTGAAAACATTCAGCATATCAAACGCTTATTATACAATAGGCAGCCACATAATTTAGTGGTACACATACCTTGAGCGGAGTCTTGGGTTGGTCCTGGTCGTCTGCTCTAGAGGACGGCTGCACGATGTCCAGCCTGGACAATTGGCTGCCTTTCTGCCTGTTGTCTTGCACTGCGCTGCCAGCACCTGACCCTGATACTTTATATGCTAATATAGGAGAGAACAGCAGAGACGAGTCATTCGCAACAGAGGGCGAGGTTGCCGCCCCGTGCCACGTGTCATCTCGGGAGCTGGAGAGCGCAGCAGAAGATGACGAAGAGGAGCCAAAGGACACGTCCGATCGTCGCTGCGTCGTCCTCTCGCTAGGAGACAAAAATTTGGTTCTAGGAGGAACTTGGGGTCGAACAGACGGTCCGAGAGTAGAGGAATTCAAAAGAGATGAATTGGGAGTGCTTGTGAGTGCGGAATTCCTTCCGTGTAGAGAGGAGTCCATGTCCCTTTGGTCAAGCCCCAGAACGAACGCCGCGCGCATGGGTTCCTTGCCCTTCAAGATTACGGGCTTATAATTCCCAGTCCGTTTGAGACGTTCTATGCTGGAAGGCCGAGGCTCGCCAGAAGAACGGTGCTCCGTGAGGCTAGAAGTGTGACTAAGGCTCCTGCTGCTGCCGCCAGCGTCCACTAGAGACGTAGAGAAGCCGAAGGTGTCGCCAGACGGACTGTTTGGAGAATTATTATTAGAGGAGAGGTGGGAAGACGAAGTTCCTGAGCTGGAGTGATGCTGGTGCTGAGGCAAAGGCGACGGCCTCTTCTTGGTTTTGAAGGCACCGCCGCTGCTGCTGCTCACGTCTCCAGGCGATGATCGCAGGGTTGACATCCAAGATTTTTGTCCGCTTTCACCGGTCGTCCTGAACGGAGCACCGTAAACATAGGCTGCAGAGGTCGCTGACAGACAGTCGAGGGAACCTTTGAGGCTGGCGTCGATAAGTTTACACTTGAGGGGCGTCACAGGCTGCATCTTGCTTTCACCTCCACACTTAGACTCGCTTTTATCCTCAGCAGAGACGCTCGCGTCGAACTCTGCTTCATGACTGGCCGTTTGATTGGACTCGAGCGACGCTTGATCCCGACTCATCGAAACACCTGACTCCAGATTCCCGGATGCATCAAAAGTATCATCAACGTTTGAGGACTCTTCTAGAATTTTGTCTCCGTCAGATGAGCTGAAAGCCACGTCGCTGGCATCAAGTGAGCTCTCGGCGCTGGTTTTAGGATCAGTTTGGCTTTTTTTCTTAACAATGGCGGCTTGCTGCTGGTTCTTGCGTCTCCGGTCCAGGGTGAGAGCTGATGGCAAGTGACTACGTAATTTTTCCCTTAGACTCCCCTTACGAGCCACGGCATTAGCCTTGGAGGGGGGTGGGGCGTGCTGGGGAGTGGTGGGCGTGAGGGGAGGCGCCTCGCACACCCCAGAGGGACGGAGGTCGCTGGTAGACGTGCTACGGCCCGTCTCGCGTACACGTCTGCGGTAATGCGGTGTGGTGTCATTACAACAAATAAAAACATGCGTTTAAAAATTACTTCTAGAAGACAACACTTCTAAAGAGGCCAGTGTCTCCGATGTTACACATATACAATGAATTTATTTTAGTTTAAATATTGCAAAAAAAATTTTAATAAATGTATTTCAATATCTAAAAAAAGGAATTTTTAAAATTTATTCTGTCAATTGATTCAAGCATTGTCTCCAACTTTACGCAAGTGTGTGCAAAATTTCAGATCGATTGGAAAGGCAGAAGTGTGCTAAATATTGATTATAAAATTTGTAGCAGACAAACAAAAAACAGAAGAGTACAGTAAATAAAGCTCAGTTCTCAAATAGTCAGGAGATAACAATTAAGAAAAGCTTCACTCAAACAAATTATATATGCCACTACATGAAAGAATAATAATTGCTGTATAATAATGATACGATTTGGAAGGTCTTTGATAGTATGCAACATCGCACTAGAGCTACTTGGATAAGACCCAAGTAGGTAGTGGGCCACTACCTACGCACTCTTTCGGCAAACATATCGAATAAAATAAAGTATCAATTAAGCCACCTGTGCTCAATGTCATTCAAACTCCGCCTCACATTCGGAATTTAAAAGTAATATTCACACAAATTTCGGTAGATATTCAAAGTGAAATTCTTGAATAAAACAAAAGTTTTGCAAAATTCATAGTTGCAATCCCTCGCAGATCAGACGAGTCGAGGACCTGACGAACCTGTAGCTGCGGAAGTTGGTGGAAGGCACCGCCTGCACCTGCTTGGGCTTCAGGAAGGAGGAGAGGGCGGAGGCGCGTGTGCCTCCACCTGAGGGCGTGGTGGATGTGCCAGTCTTGCCCCCACTGCCCCAGTGGAAGAGGGCGCTGAAGGCGCTCGAGGAGGAGGAGGGGGCCACTGGGGTGGAGGTTGTGGGGATGGCGGTGTCCAGGGGATGAGGGGAGCTGAAACAAACAAGGACACTTAGCGGCCTGCACACCATCTAACAACGAGAGGAAATTGTCGTTTCCACGTTCACTTGCGAATTAAAATAATCTAAGTATTGCACTTTTTTAGTGCGCAACATTTCCTGAATAGTTTATTCCTTTCTTGCCCCACAAAAATGTAATAATGAACGCGTGTAAAATGACCATGCTATGCGCACGGCACTGGCCTGTGTTTAGGCTGCTGGATATCGAGGATAGCTGAGATCGGCGGCAGTGAACAGTACAGTAGCTAAAAATTGCATTCAATTGGATCAGTGAAGTAGTTCAGTAACTATTGACTACCAGCAGAAATTTTTATCAGTTCAAAATCGTGAGCATTTAAGAGTGGAGTCAGTATTGTATTTATTTAGAGTGTAATGTAGATAGATGACTGTAACCCTCGGACAGTCAGCTCCAGTTTTATGCCGGGTACACACAAGTAGCCGCAACAGCTAAAACAGCAGTAAGGTACACCTAGCAGCTGCAACATCTACAGCAGTAGATGAAGCAGCAGAAACAGGCAACGCTAAGTAGTCTCACCTGACAGGTTCTGCGGCCGTGAAGCTGTCGTCACACTCGTCGTCCGTCTCGCTGTAGTATGCCTCCTCTGTTAGGCAGCACCAACGTTAATAAACTGAATAGAAATACTGTTAGATCCTCGTGACATTTGTAAATCAGAATCTGAAGCCTGAGTGAAATAGACAGAACCTACGGCTGGAACAAAGTGGTATGCTGAACTGATGATAAATGTCATAGTGTTGAAATTTTATAATTTGAATAATTTTAGTCAAAAGAGGATGGAAACGAAGTTGAACGCTCGAAATGACATAGTACAGAGGGGGAAGGGATAATGGCAGGCTAATAGAAGGAGTGGTGGAGTAAAAGGGAGAAGGAAAGACAGACTAAAAGAAGGAAGAATGTTGGACCCAAGATTTGAGAGAATAGATGACTTAATTGTAGTTAGAAAGGCAGGATAACAGTGGGAGAGATTTGCGAATAAAAAAGGAGGAGAGGGAGGTAAATGACAGTCAAACGAGGGGATACTGCAGCTGAACATGGGGTAAATAGAAGAGAAATAGCAAGGGACAAAAGTAAATCGCATGGAGAAAGAAGGGAATGAAAAAACCCGGAAGACAATAGCTGAGATAAATAAAAAAATATAACTCAGTACTCACTGCAGTGAGTGACAGAGAGCGCATTTTCTCGGCGACGAAAACTTGAGGTCACGGACGGACGGACAGACAGACGGACGGACAGACAGACATGGCAAGCACAATAGTGCATTTTTTCAATAAATGAGAAAATGCGGTAATAAGTAAAGAGATGAGAGAACATGATGAAATAATAGTAAAGGAATAAGGTCTCCGTAACGCTGATCACAGTTTCACATACCGAGATGCTGCGGCAGAAGTGTGGGGGAAGAGCAGGATGAGGAGGAGGTGGGGCTGGTGGAGGAAGCAGGACCCGCTGCTGAAGGGGAAGAAGGAGCGTCCCCACAGCGACCCGAGGACAGCGCCGACAGCCCCATTTCACTCATCCATCTGCTGCGCTCCTCGCTCGTGTCGCACGCAAACAAGAACATAGCGCCGTCTGCGGATCACAACAAGTAAGAAAACTTTAATAGAGATTAAATTGTTTAAAAAAGGATAAAAGAACAATTCGTACACCACAACGAGTTAGAAAACTTTAATACGTAAATATTAAATTGTTTTGAAAACATGACAAAAGAACAATTCGTACGCGTGTGCTAGATTGCGCGGCACTCACGTGTCGAAATCCTGTGTACCTGCACTCCGCCCTAGCCTTGACACTCACTACCACATCTACCAGCACTCACTGGCGTGGTAGATCTTGAAGGCCACCCCTCACTACCATATCTACCAGCACTCACTGGCGTGGTAGATCTTGAAGGCAAACTTCTTGGTCTTTGCGTCCTGCGCAGGGCAGACGTGGAAGCCCGGCAGGTAGATGAGAGACTCGGCCTTGAGAGCGTCCTCGCTGGCGTAGCCGTACAGGTAACCTTTCTGTGGGGGTTAACACGACTCTTAAAACATTCGTACTTATAAAGTAATGTAAATACAACCTCAAAATAGGTTATTAATAATTTTACTTTATTGTAAACATATAAGTAATGACTGGAAGTTAAGAACTAACAGTAACCTGGCTTTGTAGATGTTGTGGTTCCCCGGTCTTATTTTTACAAGAGACCCGCTGTAACCTGGCGTTGTTGATGTTGTGGTTCCCCGGTCTTATTTTTACAAGAGACCCCCTGTTACCTGGCTTTGACATTGACCTTAAGCTTGAACCAGCGTCGCTCCCAGGAGTGCTGGTGCAGGAAATGCCTGGTGCCCTTGGAGCGTCTGTACAGCCAACCCTGATGGTCGGCGGCACCCAGCTCCCGACATGACACGCCGCGACCGCCACCACACACACCTTGATACACGCAACCCAAGCTCTCTTAATGCTGCTCGCTTCTTACTTAGCACGTTAACGAGTTCAAGAATATATAGTGGAACATAATCAATACATATTGCGTACCTTAGAGGTTAAATACATTGAGGTATGAGGAACTAATCGGTGTTGCTAGTTAGTTGCACTGCGCTAGGTGTTGGTAACATGCAAACTTCTTTTTGTGGACACGGACATAAGCTTCCATATAATAATAATTTATTATGATTTGACAGGGGTCAATTTGGTGTTAGATATGTCGGTGTTTGAGGATTGCTTCACACCAAAATTTATCATTCATATCATTCGTAATTTCACGCCAGTAATAACTGTCCATTAACAGATCCTTGTGCACTCTTTTTTTTCAACGATGCAATATTAAAGGAGCATTCGAATTGGTGATTGCGCTTAGAGGCTTACTGCATCAGATCACATGCAGAAATCACTCAATATGAACAAAATAATAACATTAACAATCTCACTCTGAGCACAAAACGATGGAAGAAAAATTCCGAACATATATTTTGTTTTATGATATTGATAATGCAAGCACAAAGGCACGGAAGAGAATCGCAGCTCCCTAGGAAAAGACACACAGCTTGGCTTACGATGATGTGTAATATCAGGTGCGTGCATGACTGTCTTGTCACGAACACCTCAGATCACGAATGTGTGAACCGACTGTTTTAGCACGAACATCTCACATCAACTGTCTTAGAATGAATATCTCGGATTCAAAGCAATAAATTGCACGGCAAGCAGCGTTGCTCGGTCTTACCTGGCTGAAATAGTTACTTCAGTGACATGTTAGCATGACGAGCAAGATATTCACAATTATTCAACAGGTATTTGACAACCATGAAGCCAAGATATTCATTTGATTAGACGACCCAATCAGGGATCCACAGTCATTATTTCGAGAGCAGTTAACACCGCAGTAATTAATAACATCAATGTGAATAAAATACAACACTCGGATGAAAACGAGAAATGGTATAGGGAGAGAGGATGAAGGATGCCATATAGGTAAACACAAGCAATAGGACAAAATACGTGCGGAAAAATCAAGGCAAGGTAAAGAAACTAGGGGCTAGGCAGACGAGACGCAACGCAGTTTCGCTTGCAATCACTTGAAATAATGGAATTTTATTCAATAATTGCAGACGGAAACAAGTGTACGAATGTTGAGTCCGGCTTTTAACGTTCGTGAAACTATGTGGGCTTTTGGGGACCAATTAAGGTCAATAATTGAAGACCTGAACCCAATAATTGTCAATTATATAGTACGGAGAAGGTAGGTATATGCTTACTTATTAGCATTCATGAGATATATTAGCTAATCTTAAAGAAATGAAAATCTATCTCATGTGCTATATTTTTTGAGGCAAAATTTACTGAATAATCTAATTGCAATATAACACATTTTCTTGACCGTTTCACCAAAACAAGGTTCAGTGTGAGAAGCCACTCGATATCATCCAGCCCGACAACTTCGATCGTTTGTAATCAGCTAGCAGCCTAGCATAGTGGAATTATGCTCACGAATTCTACTTTCAAAAGGTTTAAGCATAAATTAAAAACAGGTGAAGATCGTCTTCAGGTAAACCTACTAGTAGTTTTGTCATTAAATTGACAGTACTATCTCTTAGGAGAACTGAACTGAAATCAATACATCATAAAGGCAAATTTCAACACTTTTAAAGGATGTCAATCCGGGCCATAGAAATGAGTTGCCATATAATAACTTTCCAAGAGAAGACAGGTTAGATCATAAGTGGCCACATTGTGACGAAGGAGTTTGCGTGCAACACTTAGAATATCTCATTAAAGAAATCACTTGAAAAAGAAAGATCGGGTTTACTGGTGACTTCATTCAATAGTATATAGATCTCATCCAAGATATCAAGTTGAGTATGCAAAATAGCAATATTTGTATCGCAACTTACTAATGCGCACAACATGCAAGAAATGAAAAATCATAGCATCATGAAGTAATTTTACCAAATAAAAATTTAGTAAAAAGCAATATGCCTTAAACACAAGAGCATGCAAGCAAGCACAAACTACTTATAGGCAAAGAGAGAACTTTGAATCGTGTCAAAAAGCATTAAAATAAATAAAACATAGGAACACCGAAAAAATACCACAGGCAGCATGAAGAGCAGTACCCCTGCCTGAAGGAGCAGTGGCATTGGCCAGTCGTTGTTTTTTGACGGGTTGTGATGGTCTAAACGCAAACAATACGCCTCGACGCCACAGTGATGGAGATATACTTGTGCTCCGACAAGCTGGAGCGCGACGAGGCAGAGTACAGCCTCGTATGGCATCCAATGCTACACTGCGGGCTGGTTGCGACACAAGCCCCAGTCCTCTCACTGCCGAGCCTACGCCTTCAGTGATGCCTTGACCAGCATGCGTAAAGGTGTGAGCTCGGCTTGTCTCAACTCGTGCATCCAAACTAGCGCTGCAGCAAACTGCGACCAGCAAATTCATGCAGCAAGTGAGGTTTATACAGGAATTTATTTAGAAAATCCTAATTTGCCATTACAATAAGCCAAAACAAGAAAGCAAATTTCTAGCACGCATAAAAATCTACATCGAAATCCTTATAGCATTAAGAAGCAAAAAGCATATTTACTATTTACTAAAGTTTTTAGAAAGCCGATAAAGACAGAAAGCTGAATATTCTCATACAATATCTCAAGAAGAACCAGGTTATACCAATAAAATATTTCTCTAGTCTGAACTTTTGGTTGTTTGTTAATGATTACCTGTAAAAGTGTGAGGGGAAGAAACAAATGTGAAGTGTAACTTACTTAAAATAAGAACTAAAATTACTTTCTAGACGGACAGATACTCAAGAGCTTCACCGCAGCTGAAAGCACCGCTGAAAATACAACTATAAAAACAAAAACAAATGAATTCGGAATTTTTCAGGGTAATTTGCACCGTTCAGTGAATTCCTCATTTCTGGTAATCAAGGCAATTTGTTGCATTCAGAAAAGCATATAAGAGGGAAAAAATCTTGGCCCAAAACATGTCAACAGTTGAACTATGAAATGCTTTTCTCGGAGCTTATCTATGGTTGAAAAACGATAGATAAACTATACGCATTTTTCATTTTGTATGGACTAAAGAAAACTAAAAGAGGACACAATAATTTCTAAATTTTCATGAGAGGGGGGGGGGAGTGAAAACCAAATCTGGCTTGCGACTTCCTTAAGCACGCGAGGCTTTAGAGCACCGAATAATGAGAATGATGCGATATAATATTTCTTGTTACTTGAAACTTTTAGGTAGATAATCCGTCTGGACTCGTATAGTTATATCTTGCTTTGATGAATGGTTGACTACACAGAGAGAAAAGTCAATTTTTTCTAATAACAGGTAGGAAGCATAGAAGTTAGAAAACGGGCCGTAATGCTGTTTTGACATAATGAAGCAATCATATTGCTGTGTTGACTCAATAATGAAAAGACGTTAGCAGAGTTGCTTCATGTTGGCTGTGCTGCTCTTATGAGCTTTGTATAGCTACGAGATGAAGTACGATCGCTATCCTAAACACTTGTGTTGCGGTTGCCTCAGCCACACGAGTATTCCCAACTCAAAAGCTCACGCCTGACCGTCACTAGTAGGGCAAACGTTAACGTCAGGCTCGCGTCTCCAGCATCAAGCAAATAATTGCTAACTAGGAAATCAAGTCAAATTTAAGTTCTATGTAATGCCGATTACTAGAAAACATTAATCAAAGACACAAGCGCTACGCAATAACACAAATCAAGCCATATTTTCAAATCAATGAAATGAACGTTTCCTGCTACCTGCCAAAACTCGACTAGCACATAAGGAAGCTAATGTCACTAGAAAAACGAAGAATGATCGCATTCTCTTACGATGCACAAAGGAATACAGAAGCAAATAGTATACTAGGTATTCATCGAGCGCCACAGCCTGACGTGCCAAGATGAAAGTAAGATCTGAAATAATAGGGAGAGGTGAAGCTAAATATTGCATCGATATAATACTAGAGGGAATGTATAGATCAGCTGCATATCATAATACTCCAGGTTATACGCGAAGAGGAGGAACACAACGTGGAGTTCTCTCTGCCTTAATTAAGGAAGGCATCTATGGGATAAAACTTCGCACCAGTCTATGAGGTAAGAGGCAATTAAATCACGCAAGACGTTACTACTGCAGAGGCGAGGAACACGTGACTACGGGGCATTGGTCGAGGCTGAGAAAGTGTCAGGCAGAATTAGTTGCGGGGGTGAAACCTTGGGGAAGGAGATTGGAAGGGAAGAAATTGTACATAATACGTGTAGGGACGAGGACAACGTGAGGATAATATTAGATTGCTATAATTCTTATATTATAGTGCGCCTGTGAAAAAGGAGCAGATATAACTCTGAAAGAAGCGTTGCATGAGATCAGAAACTGAGTGAAGCAACGCAGCGAAGAAAGGTGCGTGTAACAGTTTCCAGTGGTACAAACTCACAAGAGCAAAAACCAAGCAGATCCACGCCAAGGGTAATAAAGAGAGAGGAGAAATTCGCAGACGAAAGTGAGAGCAACAAACGGTGGGTTCACCTTGCTGACGTCCTGAGCCAGGCTGCGGGTCCATCGAAAAATTGGGAGGACAATCGGCCCAGCTTTCCTGGCTGAGCACTTCTCGGTTCTTCTGTAAAGTCGATGCAATCTCCTTCTGCAAGGAATTCAAGGCTGGTGCTTTTCCTCGGCCAAGGCTAGTACGAGTTTTGTGTCCAGCAAGTTCCCGGTCCTCCACAGTTTTCGACAACCTCTGGTCATTTTTTTCATCCGAGCTGTTCTCATCGGTAGACTGGTGGTCGAGACGAGCGCTATTATCATCAGGAGAGACACAGTGGTCGATGACAGTTTCTTCATGAGCTCCTGACTCGCCTGCTTGACTGTCGGTCAAATTAGTAGGGCGTTCAACAGTCATTGCAGCAGCGAGAAAAGGACCATCAAGCGATCCTGCGGCTTCGTTTGCAAGACTCGCGGTTTGTTCGGTCACTGGTTTACTTTCAACAAGAGGTAACGGCACCAGTGAACTTTCAATATTTTGATCCGTCGCCTCTTGAAGCGGGTAGGAAACCAACGGAGATACCTTGGATTCAGTAGATTTTGTCAAGCCTGTGCATTCGGAAGCTGACGACGCGGGGTCTTGCATCACTCCAGGTGGTTTCTTGATGTCCTGATCTTCTGATGAGGATTCGTCGACGCTCACTCCCAATTGCCGAGTCAGCGTAGGTACGGACAAGAAAGTTTGCTCGATGGTCAGGTTGGTGAGAGGTTGCAGGCGCGCGGTGCGTCTCTCTCTAAGAGGAGTCGTCTTTTCAATGTTGATGTTGGCGCTCCCTACTTCAAGAGTGGTAGGTTTCTTGACGGTCACAACAGGAGGATTATTTTCTTCAAGAGGCTTGACAACAACGGCTTCTTGTGAGTGATCGGCAGTGACATCAGGAGCAAGAGGCTCGGAGTCCACGTCATTTCGTGCGACATAGAAGATCGATTCCCCGACAGGGCTCTCCGTATCGTCGCAGTAGAAAGTGGATTGCTTGAGCTTCGCGGAACCTATCTTAACTTTCTTATTTTCCCCCGAGGGCGGAGCTGAAGCGAGCAAAAAAACACACAACCCGACAGTGAGAAGAGAAGCATTTGCAATATTTGAGTTTCATCGCTTAAAAATCACATTCATCAAGGACAACAATTAACGGTACAGTAAGATAACACGAATGAACTCTCATATTTCCCTCATATAAGAGCCCCGATAAAGTAGCCGTCCATAAACAAAATTATGACCAAAATCTCGAGCCCCAGCCACTTGAGTGAACAAATATAAGAAAGAGAGCGCACAAACACACATAGCTGCTATATTTATTCTCTGAATGACAGGACATCCCACAAGGATTGTTAGCACGAGTCAAAATGAACTATCAAGTGAAAAGCAATAGAAATAAACGTAATTAATTTTTTGATAGAATTAACGCCAATGTACGAGATTAACAACAGAATAACATAATATCCATTAGTAAGAATTTTATTAAACGTTTGGAAAAACTTCTTGATTCTTAGGTGATATAAAAAAAAATTATATCTGATATCAGATAAAAAGTGACGGTAAAATATCCTCGTACAAAATATTGGAATGAATAAAATAATCAGCACGCATAATTTGCTGATTTAGAAACGTGGCTTCGTAGAATCATTTTGGTTCTGAGCTCCCCAGAGCTGTGACAAGACTAGTGGACACTACCCATACAAAGAACAAGTTACAGGAAGAACTCAAGACGTACATTGAAATAAAATAAAGTCTCTATAAGAGCCAACTTATGTTAGCAAACCGTTAAGAGTCCATAAGCTCTGGTCAAGAACCAGCATTAGGGTACCCACACAGTGAAAGCAGGTTGCCAGCGTGCTGGTTACCTGCTCAGGCTGGCGCCTGAAATTTAAATAAATAGGCCTGGGCGCTGGCCTATTCGTACAGGTTTTCACTGTGAACACTTAAATTATTATCCTATGTTCATTCTTGTTCACAAGATGTTCATATCCTATGTTCGCACAGGCAAACCAGCTTTCACTGTGTAGGTGCCCTTAGTGTGCAGCAAGAAAGTACTAACGCCGCACTGCTGAGATATTACCGTAAAGTTCAATTGAAGGACCTCAAGTCAAAGCTAATCACCAGGCTACAGAGCTAAGAAAGACCTTCTTCAACTGTCTAAGCATACCCCAAGCAACAGACGAGGAAAATATCGATCTATTAATAAGCCCTTCTGTCTAACAAGAACTGTCACATTGAAACGTTTGAATATTTATTCTATCGATTTGAACTCGAATGCCAAATACATATCATTTGCACAAACCCGAGAAAAATAAGATGATGGATTACACCCAACAGCGCGTGAGTAGAATAAGCGATAATTCTGTAATGTTGTGTTACTGGGCTTTTCATTCTATGAGAATATTTAGTATTGGAGAAATCTCCTCAGCATCTATGTCGCCAAGAACGTGAAAATAATAACTCACCGGGCAAGTGTTTCTTCTGCTGCTGGCCTGATTGAACCTTTATGTTGGGCTCTAGGCCAGGCAGCTGAAGGTTCCTGCGCAGAGGATGCACCGCGTCAGTACAATACAGGATTATTTTGCTACTGGTATCTCCTCCGGAATATAATTTAGGAGGAAATTAAGCAACGGCTGCAACGCATACTACGCAAATTGAGCATCTAAGGGACTCGATAACACAAATTCGTCCACAATACTTCAAAGTTAATAGCTTCAGAGATACAATTCATTAGATATTCTTCTGTGCTAGGCTGTACTTGGCAAAGATTTTAATTGCTCGACACATTCAATAACTATCAGCCAAAGAATAGGTTTTTCTTTGCTCTCATCAACAAATCACCGCTAGCTTGCCAATATATTTAATTAGTTTGTTATAAATTACCAAAACAAACGATAACATGAATCAATGCAGACTGCCACACACGAAGTTTAGCGACGAACAAACCTGTGTCCCCCAGCAGCAGCGGCCGCGGGTGCGCTGCCCGGCACCAGCAACGCCCCCGACGAGGGTGCGGTGTTGGTGGCGGGGGCGCCGTCGCTGCCGAAGTCATAGGCCGGGGTGCTGTGACTCTTGTCCAGACGAGGTCGGTCTTCTGAGACCCGCCGTCCCCCAGGGGTGTGAGGTGTTGAGGGAGGGTTGGGAGTGAGTGGTGTAGGAGGGGAAGTGATGGTAAATGGTAGGGGCATGTCGCTGGTGATCCCGATAGATGGAGGCGGCACACCCACGCCATCAGCCCCGCCCACGCCATCAAGAGACAACATTGGACGTGCGACGGGCGACTCGCGGTCCACGAGCGCCGCGGTTGCCGAGACTTTGGCGGGCAGCGACACGGGCCCGACGGGCGCTTGGCTTGGCACGAGCCGGTCCTCGGGCTTGTGGGGGTCCGGGCCGCTGTCGCGCAGCAGCTTGGCGGCGCCGATGGTGTGCGGACGCGCGCGGATCTCCGGGCTCTGGCGAACGGCGTCGCGCTGGTCACCTGAACTCACGCGGCCGCGCAGGGCGAGGCCACTTTTGCGCAGCCCTTCGATGTACTGAAGAGAAAAGAGGACATTAGCACGGCGTTGTGACTGAACAAGAAACATCATTCCGGGTATTATTCAATAACAATAAATTAGCTAGCGCGGCAAATTCTCTGCGTTTTTCTAATCGATTAGCGATTGCATGAATTTTCTATATGCCATATTACAGTAACTCTGCTATATCTGCCGCATCAAAAACACGGCAACGAAAGTCACCGCCAGACTGACCCGCCGCTACGCACCTGATTGAGAGTGGCGGCGGCGATGACGGGCGGGGCGGTGTCGCCAGGGATGGTCGCCCTGCGGTGGACGGGCGCGCGCGGCTTGGGCGGGTACAGCCGCACGCTCGCCCCTGACGTGGAGGCGACGTCGTCCTCGCCGTCGTGGTGCGCGCTCAGCTCCTCGTCAGAAGACGTGAACGGATCATCGTCGTCGTCATCGTCGTCGTGAGTGGGGCGGGTGCCGGAGTCACTGGTGTTATGCGCGCTGATGTACAAATAAAAGCAAGTGGAATAACAATAATAACAATATCACAAAGGACAGATGTAATCTAAAAAAAATAAACAAAAAAAAAAATTCTATCCTCTTTTTCTAACGGATCAAGTAGATTGAGAACGTAGAAAAAGTCCAAACTTGATGGCTTAGCGAAGTTGGACGATATTCACGATATGCCCGCACAGGTTTAGATCTTTTGCTGCAATGCCTGAAGCATCGCTCAAACACCAAGACACACAATAGGCTGAGCTGGTGTCAGCGCTTCCAATGCAATTATTAACCTGCGAGCCGTGACTCTGCACACGGTATTTCACCATATGAGGCTAAGGCAGCATAGAACAATGTCTGATGCGAAACAAGTTACGGAGTTACGGTGCTCACGGATGAGTGTTTCGTTGCTGGGCTTGTTTAGTACTTCGGATGCAGGACCCATGAGAAGAATAGCAAGGAAAAGAAACGAGGGAGAGAGGGAATAGTACGAGGATAAGCATGGAAGCAAACTAGGGGCAAAGCTGACCTTGGAGGGAGTAGTGGGGATGCGGCCAGGACGGAGGAGGCACTTGAGGCGGTGGGGCTGAGGGCCTCGCTCACCGTGAAGCTCACGACCACCTCACTGCACTCCGGCGCTGGCGCCTGAGGGCTGCCCGACCTGCACACGCGTCCCAAGAAAAACACTCGTCATGTAGTGAACATAAAACTAATAGGGTAAGCAAGCTGTAAACCGTAGCGTATGTAGAGTAATCACTTTTACTGTAGGCCAGTAATATTATGACCATCAAGATATCAGGCAGCTGACGACAGCTACATCTCCCAGCTGCTGTACAAAAGAAGAGTTTACCACGGAGGCTGCGGCTGGTCAGGAGACACGGGTCGCAGGACGGACGGCACTTGCAGGACGCGGTTCATGGGCGTCACCGCCGCAGCCTTGGGGATGATCTGCCGGTTGCTAGCAGACTGGTCCAGTAACCTGCACGAGGGGACAGACTGAAACTTATGGAATACTTCCTATGAAATCCTATGAAATGACATCCTAAGGAATCCTATGAAATTACATTCAATTGAATCCTATGAAATGACATTCAATTGAATCCTATGACATCACAGTGCAACAATGCTCAGGTTGATGAAATAAAGATGGAATGACGAGTTATTGCTGAACTCACGAGTAAAAATTGAGGTTGTTGGAGAGGTTATTCGTAAGGTTGTTGGTGAAGTTATTTCTGTAGGAGTACTCGTTCTGAGGAGGGTATCCGTGGTTGTAGGTGCGCTTCTTGCTCGGTAGTCTGAAAGGCTTGAAATACGAATATATTTGCTGGGCCCCGGGCGCGTGACGAGGTTGCTTCTTCACCGTCAGGATAACCTCCAGCGGGTTCTCTGACAGAGCTTTTGTTATCTTCTCAGGCGTCCAACCAATCTGAAAACAATTACTATATAAGAACAAAAGAAAACAATCAGACCCAGGCAAAAAAACTAGAAAACCTGTGGTCATGCCCTGCTATTCACAATTGTTTGGAAATACTAATTGCATGATATCATAAAACCCAAGATAGATAATTACATATAGTTTCAATATTAAAATATTTAATACTTCAAGATAGTATCAAGAGAGACATCATGAGAAGTTTTACAAGGCAATTTGACTATCCATTCATTACGTAAAAGATCAACTGTTCGCAGCAACACAAGTGGCCTCATGGATGGAATGCATCACTTTGAATTGAGGCAGCAGCAATACAGAACATCACACAACGGAAGCTGGCAAGACAACACACAGGAGGCAGCAACACCACACAGGAGGCAGCAACACCACACAGGAGGCAGCAACACCACACAGGAGGCAGCAACACCACACAGGAGGCAGCATCACACACCACACACACAGCAAGAAGTGTCAGCATCACACACAATACACAGCGAGAAGTGGCAGCATCACACATCACACAGCGAGAAGTGGCAGCATCACACACCACACAACATTACACAACACACAGCAGACACTCACGACGGTGTCATAGTTGATCTGTATGAGCTGGTCGCCGACGCTAAGTTTGGTGCAGGTGTCAGCGGGAGTGTGGGGGCGGATGATGGAGACCTGATGCACTCCATCGTAGGTCGTCATGAGGTGCACGCCCTGGCAGGACATACAGGGATGCTTTTAAATCCATGACAAGAGGTACAAGCAAATATGCGTAATAAAATACCGGTACTATACCTTTGTGCACAAGGCTCAAAAAAATGTGAAGAACATCAAACATCAATTTATTTCTTACTGACGGCAATTGCAGTCATTCAAGACATGCATAAAAAATTATCAAGATGCTATTAGCAAAATTTGAATTACCTATCAATGACAGTACACACTACAACAACTTCTTCCAAATGCACAAAATGCATCTTAAATAAAAATTAACATATTAAAAAAATACAAATTAACATATTTAAAAATATCAACAAACCATCTTTGCAATATTTTGATGGATGTTTTCTCTCATAAGAAATGGCAAACTTTTTGGGTGTTTTCTGTATTTTTAAAGTCTAGACCAGCAATCCAGCATGCATTGAATAAAATCTTAATATAAGACCTAATATCAGAAGTACTATTATTCATGAGAAAGAACTGAATCAATTTCGATAACTATTCTTGACAATATCTCACCAGATCATCGTCGTGCTTCTTCTTGATGGTGGCTACAACTAATGATGCGGGCTGGATGATGAGTGGGTCGTTGAAGTTCTGCACAGATATAAAATCTCTTAATGAACTGGAACCTAAATAAATAGAAGAAATAAAATGAAGGAAATTAGGTCTGAAAGAATGAGTCTATCAAGAATCCTATAAAATTTTATGCCATTTATGCGTTGAGAGATATTTCTAAGTACATAATTATTATGGGTTTTCAGCTTGAAAACAGTGAATCATTACATGTCTATATATAGCATAAACTTCTGGCCCAAATAGTTAGTACTTATCTTAATTACTTAAAAAAACTAAATGTTTTGCTGAATATACCAAAGATTCTCATTATATTGCTTCATCTCATATTGACTCATAACATTTGATCAAAAGCGTGCAAATGTGATGGAATACATATTTTTGCGATATTTTTTTAGGAGTACCGCTTGACTAAACACAGATGATGTTCTTTTGTTTAGATTGGTATTTGATACGACTAAATAATGGTTGAATATATTTATTTTATTCAGAAATATACATTTTAGGTATATTTACGATATATTATTGTACATGAACTATGATTCAGGTTCATTTTGTTGCGCTATATTCAATGTACTTTTGTGCAATATTTTGCTTGTGTCGCCCCTCCAAAACCAGGGTTTATTTTGTATGGGCTCAGTAATGGCAATGTGGAGTCCAAAAGTTATTACAAGTCATTTTATGGAGCCAGATCTGGACTACTAAGACTCAGCCGTAGTTGTGGAAATATCTCATATGCCTAACTGACTAACAGGGCGCTTGGTTTAACCAGGCGTAAGTAAGAAATCCACTAACAGACTAACAGACAAAGTATGGCGTTGGCCGAGTTCTTGCTTAGTCCTTCCTGCCGCTGGCAGCACTCTGGTGCAACTCGTACCTGTACCAAGTACACCTCTTGTGTTGTAGAGCCTATACCCTCTGCACTTGAGTAGATTTGCTAGCTTCTTAGTGTGGCTTTAAATCCTACACTAAGGGCGCCTTTCATATCGTGGGAGTTAATAACTTCCTCGCTCGCTATTAATCGGCTTAGGGTGTTTCAGTGTGGCTAGATCCCACGTCATTTGCTAACTCCTCAGCGTTTTGGTGTGGCTCCTACCCTCGGCAACAGTGACTGGCTAGTGGGGCTTTGGCATGGCTCGTACCCGCGTCACTCGCTGCTCTGTGTTTAGTTGAAACTCTTACCCCTGTGGCAGCAATGAGGTCGTTTGGAACCATCACTTGTCAAACAGAAATAACAAGTACCTGCTTTATTAGAAGAATTCGTATGCCGTTATATGATGACTTTTATATCCTACACAAATATCCTCAGTACAGTACAAAAGTTTGTGATGTGTTATTTCCTCTTCTCTCCAACGCAAGAGCATTGAGAGCCCGACTAAAGCATCACACTTTGGCCATTGTGTTCAAATTCAATATACTAATTTCCCTCAAAGTCAGCACGCCACCTCAATTATTTCAACTTTTCGGGGGTGTTTTTGGTTACATGACAAAGCGCTGCACCCATTCAACTGTTCATCTGAGTACAGAATCTACTTACCTGGATGATATTGTCAGCAATCTGAGCAAGTTCCTTGCAGTTGTCCCTGATAATGGTAGCCTGGTTCTCAGCAAACTGGTCGCGCTGGCTGATGGTGGCTAAGCGAATACCCAGATCAGTGAGTTCTTCCAATGGCTGTTTGTACAGCAGCAGGTTGTCAAATGGAGCCCTGGTGCAATAATTAAATACTCATAACATTAGTTGTCTTAACTTACAAATTGACCAAGAATTTTGAAATGAAGGAAATGTCAAGTAAGTTACCATAATTTATTGAAAAATTTCCAGAGGTATGCTTCATTATTGGTTTAAAACTACGAAAATTCATGTGCAATCAATAACAAAAATACAAGTATACTCATTAGCTTGTTCTTTACTTATAATCTTTTAAATTTTTAATGCAGGCGCTAGTATCATCAATATTTTTCAATTAAAATATGGTACCTTAATATGACAATTTCATTTATTTTCAAATATTACATAAAATTAGCTACATAAATTTAAAAAATCTATTCCAATCTATAGTAATCAATTGAGTTTATTATATTAATGACAACATATGCACTGCACAAAAAGAAACTCACTGTTTCAAATGTTCCCCATCACCAGAAACTAACATATTATTAGTGATAATATTTGTTGATAATTATAGAATTAGAGACTTGTTGAATTACCTACTACACAACAGAGCAGCAAGCTACAGTAAAATTTAAGGAAAATAAGATCAAGCATGAGAAGTAAATTAGCAAATTACAAATAAGGAAAGAAAAATCTGATGACAGATGGAAACTGTTCACAGTGATTGTGTCAATTATATATGAGACAAAGCCTCAAAATAAAAGGGCTAGCTCATATAAGTTTGTAGCAAACAAAATGCGCAAACAAATTTATGACAATAGACAAACCTATTTAGCCAGGACACAACCGTCTTGAGAGCCGCCAAGCAGTCAGCCACTCCTGCCACCACTGCAGTGGACACCAGATGACATTTCTTTTGACTAGCTTTTTTGTTGTCTTGGTCATCAGAATTAATGTAGTCATCATCACAACCGTTGTGGCCGTTGTCCAGGGATGAGCCATGTGAGGGCTTAAGTTCATTATAGACTGAGCGCGCTCGTGAGCTCAACCGCAGAGCAAGCTGCTGTAAGGTTTCTTTGTCCAGTTGGTAGTGCTGAAAATTTAAATTAAAATGACAATACTCAAAACAAACATTTTTAATGAACACTTTGCAGATACCACACCATTCATGAATTCATTCAAGAAAGAAAAAACTATATAGAATTTAAACTAGTGGAGTGAAATGGGTGAAGAATGTGAATTAATGATATTTAAAACAGAAATTTGCCTCATAGCACAGACTGAAACATAGCTCTAGGCAAGTAATAATATCAATGGATTGGGAGTAACTTGATATACCATGATGAGTATTAAACTTGGACTAATAACTGTTTTTTAATTAAGCCTTTAGACAAATTGGCTCCATGCACTGATTAAAAAAATTTGTCTACAAATTATTATTTTTGTACAACAGTCATTATGATGTAGGTACTGCCTTAAAAAGCATCTATATAAACTTCCATATAATAACCACAATGATGAAAAAGCTTCTGAAGTGGAATTATTTATGCATGATGATTGCAATGGTTGACAAGCAGCTAGGCATTGATGAATCTATATAATATTGAGACAGATTTACAAGCTTCTAATGCACCAATATTTCTTTAAAATATTCACAACAATGTGGTAACTATCAAGGCATCAATATTTCTATCTATACATAAATAATCTTGTTAAAACAAGGCTACTATAGACCCAAAAACAAGCAACCAAGCCAACCATATTACTAAGTAATCTTAAAACAATAGACTTGTCAAATAGCTCAAGAAATACCTAGTCTTGACAGATAATAATATGAAAAGCCAAATGCCTCACTATGTTTCTTAGATGTGCAATGGCCTGCAGCAATAATTCCTGGTGTCCTATTTTGTGGATGCCAAATCTTGGAAGCATGTCAGGTTCCAGCTGCAGCAGCTGCTTCCCTGTCACTCCCGCCTCCCATAGTTCATTGACGTATGATGATAAAAATGGTTCAAGGCCTGAAATGAAATACAACTGAAATTACAAATCAACAAAAAAAAAATTTATAACCCTGGATTTAATATCCTTTGTATCAGATACATCATTGTGACCATCCAGTTTTGAACTCTGTTGGTAACTTAGCAGATTTTTTGACACCAAGTTGTTAGTACAAATTGCAAATGAATTACTTTCCTTCAGGTACCACCGTACCTATGCCAAAATGAATACGCAAGGATCATCAAGTATTTAAGACAACTATTAATTGCAAATCAAATGGTACATCTTAAATGTATATAAATTTGAGTATAATATTTAGAAAATTTGTTAAAACACACTCAAATATATATACTATTTACCGTCAAACAGTGTAATAAGGGATGGGCAGGGTAATTGGGCTAGTCCCACATTTTGTAGAAATATTAAGCAGCCAAATTAATAAAAATATTGCAAAACTAAAAATAGTGCACAAAATTAAACATTTTCACTATCTATGTAGCAAAAAGCAAGTTAAGGAGTCATAAATTTACTACCTGTAAAAAATCCCAGAAAAAAAGGGTGAAAAGTGGGATTTTGGACAAGTCCTTGGATGAGGTTTGCAGCAAAAAAATGGCCACATTTAAACATTTTACTTACATAAAAGTTGCACACAGGTGTTGAATAAAAATGTGATTGACAGAATTTACATATCTCATTAAAAAAATGGCGGCCATTTCCGCAAGACAGGGTAATAAAGGACACCCCTAAAAATGCATTTACAGTACAACCTCTATTAGCAAAGGCTCCAGTTAATGAAAAAATCAATTTGCAACAAAAAATTAATGCATCATCACCATTCATCAATCATCACAAAATATTGCATAGAATGTCATGGATAAATTTGTGCACTGGGCAATATAGAATGAATATAATTAACCTAAACAATTATTCATTTTTCCAAAAAAATATGATGGCTGCAATGAAATATTTCTTTCTATTTCAGGTACCGTAAAATGGGGTAACTTAGACCACTTTTATTTTTATAAATGATGCCATTTTTTACTAGCTAAATTAAACTTGAATTGAAACATGCAAAATACAGGTCTATACTCTAGCTTCACTCACCATAAATTGCTGGCTCCTGCCTCTCATAGTCTTTATGTAATTTCAAAAAAAGTGGTGGTCTTTGTTACCCCAGCTCTTGGGGTAACTTAGACCGGGTGTAAAATCAATTATATTTTTTGGTAAAATAACTCCAAATAGCTCCAGGTTTTGGTGCATTGTAGTAGAACTCTTCTAATTACATATGCAAATGACAAACTTGAGGAAAGTGTCATAGTTTACAAATGGGGGGCGCCACCTCCAAATGGGCGAAATGTGACCATCTAATGGCAGCCGTGATGGGGAAACATAGACTGGTTTGGAAATTAAGTTAAAATTACCATATATAAGACTCTGTAGAGTCTGAAACATAAAGAAAAAACATAAATAGGCTGTCAAACATAAAATATGTTATATATGGTAATTTTATATTAACTTCCAAGCCGGTCTATGTTACCCCGTCAGGGCTGACATTAGGTGGTCTAAGTTACCCCATTTTGGGGCAGCGCCCCCCATTTGCAAACTATGACACTTTCCTAAAATTTGTTGTTTGCATATGTAATTAGAAGAGTTCTACTACAATGCATCAAAACCTGGAGTTATTTAACCAAAAAATAAAATAATTGGAGGGGGTACTCTGACAGGCTTTAAATAATAGCTTTTTTTCGTGGGTCACATTTTTAATTTTTTAACCTATTAGATATGCAAACTTTTTAAATTTTTCTATTGTGTTATGTAGCCTCAGTATTAGGCCTTTAATGCCCATTGACAGAATTTTTCTATGTCAAATAGTTTTTGAGTTGGGGTTTTTGTTAAAAAAACGAAAAGTGGTCTAAGTTACCCCGCCGGTCTAAGTTACCCCATTTTACGGTATGTCTTTTTACAATATTTTACAACTTAATTGAAATGTTGTGAAATTAAATTAATTAAACAAGTTGTCCTGTAAGCTTACAGATACAGAAGAAATGCTAATGGCTGAGCACTGACATGAAGCTTGTAGTGGACAAAGTTGTTGTAAATGCTCAATGGCATGTTCATCAGTTCATGGATATGGTAATATTATATCAATAATACAGTAATGTATCAATATGGTAATATCATGTCAATAAAGTAAAAATCACAGAAAATGTCAATTATTCAACATTTACATCATCTGCAAAGGAAGAGGAAAACTTCAGACTGTTCAGAGTTCAGGCCAATCACTCGTTCAGAGTATGGTAGTACTGTTAGCAATGGATGAGTATAATCGTTGAATATGTAACCAGAGTTTAAAATTGAAAATAATAACAGATTTCATAGTCAAATGGGGTAAGACAGGATCGCAGCCTTAATGGGGTAAGAAAGGACCGGCCCATGGTGTGCATTCTAATTGCACTGAATTTAATTTGACAAAAGAATATGTTAGAGCAGCCATTGCCTGTCATTTCAGTGCTTGTGGCAACCCTCTTCTGCAAATAATGAATTTCTGGCTAATTTTTGAAAAAAACCTATGTAAAGAAGGGTCACAAAATAGTTAACCTTGTTTGGGAAATAAGCTCTGTCTAATGACAAAAAATTTTTTGGCCAGGTTTGTGGATGTAGGCAGGTAACCTCAAGTAATAAGCACCTTTTGAAACATACTAGGCATTCCTATCTGCTACCATCACTGCCTGACATGTATTCTAAAATGGGGTAAAAAAGGACTGGACATGAGGTAAGACGGGACCACTAAATGATCCTGTTTCACCCCACAAGTGGTCCTATCTTACCACACAAATGGTCCTGTCTTCCCCCACAAATGGTCCTCTATTACCCTAGGTACAGTTTATCAAAAATAGTTTTTAAATGAATATATTATTTGGCAGTACATAGAGTATTTTGGTCAAAATTTTTATCTATGGCTCAAACTTCATTATAACTTGTTAGCTTTTTTGATTAGAGAAATTTAGTGCACTTTTTTAAATTACATCAAAGGGACATAGAAAATAGGGTTGTCTCTTCCCATTAGTGAGCTGCAGAACTATGTTCAAGATTGGCTGGGGGAAAATCATTGTGTGAAACATGAAAAATAATTATTATCACAACTCTGTGAGAGGGCATGGGCTACATTAGAAGAAGTGCACCACAAATGCAGTTAGCAAGAAAACACATGACGTCTGACACTTAAGTGTTTATTTATTGGTTTTATTACCAATTTGATAAATTTTCAGGCAATGACACTAATGGAATATACATGAAGCATTTAGCAGTGCTCTACAATGAACCAAAGCCAACCCACTATTACTATGCTTAACAAAGTTTTCTCATGAAAAAAACTCCAATGTGACTGATATTAGAGTTGACTTCCTGCAACACATAACAGTAACAAGTGGTTGTTTAATCAAATAATGTGTTCCTAGATGGATAATATTGAATATCAGATTTGTACTTTTATTAAAAACCTTGTAACATAAGAATTGCCAGTTGGTCCTGTCTTACCCCATGCCTGGTCCCATCTTACCCCACTGGGGAAAGATGGGACCAGCTCACTTTTTAATCTGTACAGAAAACTATGTTAGATGCAAAAGGTCTGAGTTGTAACTTAGAAGCCCATTGCATGTATACACCTTGTTATAGGTTTAGGGTTTTTAGTTATTCTTGGTATAGATGCTACAGGCTTGTTAGTGATTTCAGTCCTGTCTTACCCCATCTGGCTATATATACAGCAATCCCTTGATTAACGCGGTTAATAAATCCCCGAGTTTTACCGTGTTAAGCAAAACTGCGCTAATCAAACTTAAGAATATATGGGAATAATTATAATGAATCCTCAAAAATAGCAAAGTTACATAATAATTTTTTTTTCCACTAAAATTCAGCATATTTTTTTCTAAATAATAGGGGAAATAAATAAAAGAAATGCAAATTAATCCTCCAAAGCAAATCCTCCATTTCGATCATTATACGAGTCCTATTTCTAGTGCATTGCACGCTCGACGACGTAGAAGCAATTTTGCCTTTCTCTTGATACTCGGACGATTTTTTCAAAATTGTGCATATTGTTGACTCGGGAAACCCTAGGTCTTCACCGATCTTTGTTTTTGTAAGGAAAATTATGTAGTTTGATAAAACTTAGCAGTAGATATGGCAGCGATCTTGACCAGTTGAAGGCTAACGAGTAACAAGAGCATCGGCATGGCGCACTTACTGGCGAACGTTGCCAAACTCGACTATTCGAGTTATGAACGAGACAAGGCGCGGTTAAACTGACTCTGTAGTCAGCACGAGTGCTAACGGAACGGGACCTTATTTAAAGAATTATTGGCTGAAATTCATAAAGTAACAACATTTGGCGAATTTTTCCAAAAGTCGTAACAAAAGTAACAACATAAGATCTAATAAGCAAAAGTAACACTTTTGTTACGAACGTGACACCTCAGGGTCAGGCTAGAGGCGGGAAAATGATGCGTTGTGAAAAAAAAAGTCGCGCTAATCAAAACTAGCACCGTGTAGATTAAGGGTAGGTCGCAAATTTTTTTCCCGCGTTAATCAAAACCGCGGTATTCAAAACCGTGCTAATCAAGGGATTGCTGTACACTCTGCTGTCTCTGCATGCTTCAAATGTTTTAAAATTACATTTTATCTCAAGTGTCCTGTATTACCCCATTCCCAATCCCAGGGGTAATTACTAAATTAGGGATGCTTTCATTTTGCATCTGGCACCTTACAAATAGCATATGGAATTTTTTCAGAGATGCCTTGCAGTAGTCCTCACCATAGTGACAAACCAGAGACTGGTCTACTTATAGGAGTCAAAAATGAACTTGAGACAGAATCTAAAAAACTCTCTGCTTTGCCACTATGGACTCCTCACAAAGCAAAGGCCTTTAAAATGAGCCCAAACTTTTTCCTGAAATGTTCAATGGTAAGAAGTTAGCCTATTAACAAAAAATGGTCAGAACCAACCCTTATTACCCTATTTGACAGTATATATAGTTATAGGACTCAAAATTTAACTTGACAAGTCTAAAAAAACTGCTTTGCCACTATGCCTGTATCTGTATGAACTTGAAATATGAATTGTAAACACATAATTCTGAATTTTATATGATGAATGTGATGATTACCAGTGATGAATCAATGTTGGATGAGCTTCGTCACGAGGCTCCGTTGGGCAAAAGCCATCACCAATCTTTGTTTTTCAGACTTAAGTGCTGTACAGAAAAGACGCCTCGGAAGCGTGAGCGTTTGAATTTTGCGAAAGGCGATTATGATAAACTCCGTGAAGCAGTGAATGCAGTGAATATTTCGAACTGTATTAAGGACATGAACGTGGCTGAGTCATGGTCACTTCTCAAGGACACGGTTATGTCTGCAGTTTATGCGTGTGTACCTAAAATTAAGCTTGGTGGAGCCAAAAAAACTAGGTGGATGAACAGTACAGTTTTAGCTAAGCTGAAAACAAAGAAGGAAGCATACAAGCGTTATTTACAGACTCGCAGCGATGCTGACTATAACCTATACGCAAGAGCTCGAAATCAAGCTAAAGAAAGCTGTCGCACCGCAGTAAAAACCCTCGAAAAAAGTATTGCTAAAAA